GGTAACTGGAATGATAATTGGCTAGGGGTGTGACAGGGAAGGATGTGGGGAATTGAGGAGTTAATAACAATGTGTAGGAGAAGAAAATGTTCTGGAAAAAAGGCAAGAAACAAAAAAATGACCCACATGAGTGTCAAGTGAGATTCTAAAACTTGCTCAAGAAGGTAGATAAGCTAATGAAAATGGCAGAAATAATGAAGTAAAAGATCAGGATAAAAATTCCAAAGGGCCGTTGGAGAAGACAAAATAAAGTTTTATAATGAAATATGCAAAGATCTAGAGTTAGAAAGCCAAAAGAGGACATTCTGTCCAGGGTTTCTCAAGATGAAAGAACTGAAGAAAAATCTCAAACCTCAAGTTGCAAAACTGAAGGATTCTGTGGATAATATACTAAATGATGCAAGACACACCCACAAAAAGATGGAATATCTTAAAAAAAAAAAAGGATGGGAAGAATAGAGTCACTGTACCAAAAATAATTGGCCAACTTTCATTTGTTTCCAGAGATACTATGTGATTAAAAAACCAATGGTATTGAAGGAAGAAGTCCAAGTTTCACTGGAGGCATTGGTGAAAATCAAGTCTCCAGGAATTGCCAAAATTCCAAATAAAGTACTTCAAAAAACGGAGGAACTGCTGGAAGCACTCACTTATATAAAGACATTTAAAAGACAGCTTTCCTCACCAACGGACTAGAAGAGATGAATATTTATGTCAATAATTACTCCAATTATGTAAATATTAATATTTACTCCAAAAAAGCTGACTCAACAGAATGCATAAATTGTTTTTAATATATAATTAATATTGCACAAGTAAATTGTTGCTAAAGATAATGTCAAGAGAATTGCAGCACTCTACGGACAGGGAACTATCAGAAATACATGCAGATTCAGAAGAGGATCTGGAAATAACATCATTGGCGAGGTTAGGTGAATCTTAGATGAAAGCAAAGAATACGAGAAAGATGTTGCGTGTGTTCTGTTGCATATGCAAAGGGCATTTGACTATGTGGGTCATAGCTAACTATATGTGAAGAATGGGAATTCCAGAAAACATTTCATTGTGATTATGAGAAACACTTACATAGACAAAGAGGCAGTCTTTCAAACAGAACAAGGGACTGCTGCATGGTTGAAAATCAGGTGAGTTGTGGGTGTCGGGGTCTTATCATTTCACGATACTTATTTAGCCTGTATGCTGTATGTACATCTTCTGAGAAGCGGGACTCTGTGAAGAAGAATGGGACATCAGGCTTAGAGGAATGTTTAGTAAGAACCTGCGATGTGCATGCAACATAACCTCAGTTGAAACCGAAGACGAACTGAAGCACTTACTGATGATGATCAAAGACTACAGCCTTCAATGTGCATTATTCCTCAACACAAAAATTAAAATCCTCACAACTAGACTGATAAACAAGAGTATGACACGCAGAAAAGTGATTGAAGTTATTCTTTTACTTGGACCCACTATCAGTGCTCTTAGTAGCAGCAGTCAGGAAATGGAAAGACAGTTTGCATTGGATAAATTTGGAAGCATCTTCTTTAGAGTGTTACAGGGAAAAGATAACACGTCGAGGACTAAGGTGTGCCTGGTCTTCCTATGTATGAAAGTTGGACACTGAATAAGGGAGATAAAAAAAATAGCTGATGCCTTAGTTACAGGGTTGGAAATATAGAGATTACTATAGGTTTGCAGAAGAACAACAAATCTGTCTTGGACGAAATACAGCCAGAATGCGTCTTAGAAATGAGGATGGTGAAACTTCATTTTATGCACCTTGCACGAGTTGTCAGGAGGGACCAGTTTCTGGAAAATGACATCATGCTTGGTAGATTGCCAGCTAAAAAGAGGAAGACCCTCAATGAGATGGACTGACCCAGTTACTGTACCAATGGGCTCAACTATACTATCGATGGGAGGATGAGGCAGACTTGGGGCAGTGTTTTGTTTTGTTGCACATAGGATCACTATGAGTTGGAACCCACCAGTTAGTATTTAACAACAATAAAGTGAACAATAACACAAACAATCAACAATACTACATCAAAAGGGCATCATTTGCCCCGAGATAAAACTCAGAAAGTCAGAAGGGACCAGGAAAGAAGGCCGAAGGGAAACAGTAAATAGGGAACAAGTGGGAAGTGTGCTCTTACATTGTGGGGCTTGCAATCAATGTCACTAACAAAATGCTTATGCACTGTTGAAAGGGAAATGGTTTTGCTGTATAAATGTTCACCTGCATATCACTCACACACACTCGTAAAAACTACAAAACTCAGAACAACTTCTGCAACCCTTTAAATTTATAATTATCCATGTATCCTCATGTAGTCCCTTTCCAGCTTCTATTATCCCCCCTTTGGCAATGATGTGCTAATGACTAACCAATCATATTACTCTACCTCACTCCCATCATAACTATGCACACCTGAACGCACCGCTGTCCCATCCTGGGCCACCCTCACAAGTGGTCCTATGCTGGAGCTCATTGTTGCAACCACGTGAAGGCCTCACCCACCCTATGGGCAGTCTCCGCTTTGAGCTCGGTAATTTATGGTGCTGTTTTCTGAGATTTTACAAATCAAACCTTTTGTTTTCTTTTTCCATCTGGATGTCCTTGAACACCTTTGTATGATTTCACTTGCTTGTATTGTCTAAATTCAACCATCTCTGTCAGTACAGAAGTAAATGTATTTTCTGAGTCCCTAACCACTCTAAGAGGAGCCCTAAGGGTATAGTGGTTATGCATTGGGCTGTGATCTGAATGGTAGGCAGTTCCGAATCACCAGCAGCTCCGAAGGGGGAAACTGGACTTCTTACTCCCGTAAACAGTTACCGTCTCGAAAACCCACCTTGAGGTCGCTAAGAGCCAGCATTGACTCCGTGGCAGTGAGTTGAGAACCACTCTGTAATGTGAAGGATGTGGGGTTCAGTGACTGGGAGATTGCTTAAGGTGAGGTTTGGCCGCCACCTAGTGGCGTTTGGTTATATCTACAGATGTTTGAAATCACAAATGCTAAACTTGGTTAAATTGGGAGAGCGTCTTAAAGGATTCACAGTAGTCCTCCAGTTGCCAGCAGATAGATTCGGGATGCCCGTCACTATTTTGCTTTTCCCTCCTTCCGAGCTCCTCTACTTTACTAAACATGATGTCCTTCTCCAGGTACTGGTCTCTCCCAACATGTCCAAAATATGAAATCTTGCCATCCTTGCCTCTAAGGAGCACTCTGGACATACTTTTTCCAAGACAGATCTGTTTGTCTTTTAGCAATCTGTGGCATTTTCAATATCCTTCACCAGCACCACAATTCAGATGCATCAATTCTTTTTTTATTTTTTTTATTCAAATGTCCAACTTTCACATGCATATGAAGCGATGGAAAATACTATGGCTTGGGGCAGGCACACCTTAGTCCACAAAGGAACACCCTTGCTTTTCAGTATTCTAAAGAGGTCTTGTGCAGCTGATTTATCCAATGTAACCCATTTGTTGATCTCTTGACTACTGCTTCCATAGCATTGATTGTGGATGTAAGCAAGGTTATTAAATCCTTACAACTTCAACCTTTTCTCCATTTATCATGATGTTACTTATTGGTCTAATTGTGAGGATTCTGGTTTTCCTTACATTGAGTTGTAATCCATACCGAAGGCTGCAATCCATGATCTTCATCAGCAAAACTACATAGCATAAAGAGAACAGAGATCATATGTGTACGGTGGAAAAACCGAAGGGTACCCAGCTAGCATGCAGGCACCGAAGCCCAAGCATCTGTGGATTTAAAAGCCCCAAACTTCTGGGATGCCATCTAGGGAAGTTGAGTCTGTGCTAAAGATATTATATGTAATATACATGGTGAAGATAATAAAAGGCCATGCAAAACATACAAAAGATACTGAGGTTATGGTCAAAGGAAGTTCAACTGAAATCATTGCTCAAAAGGTAGGGTTGGTCTGGAGATTGGAGAACTCCCGAAGGGTTACCTTTCCCCCAGTTACACCACACAACAAAGGTTTGCTTTGCAAGGTCAATGTAGAATCTGTCTTCAAATTTAAATATATATATAGTCATGTTCTTTTTTTGCTTTAATTTTAACTAAACTTTCTTTTACTTTTAAAATATTGCATGAAAACACTTGTTTCCTGAGTTCTTGGAGCTCTCTTTAAATTTGTAACCCACGAAAATGCCTTCTAAATCCAACAAGGTGAGGGAGTTATAATTGTTTACTACTGCATTTCCAAGGCCTAACACAGGACGGTTCCTTAAGAGATTGTTTTAAGAATCGTCCTTCCTCCAAATTCTGTCTAGATTCCGCTGCTATTTCCACCCAGGAAGCAGCCGGCCAGGTCTCCCTGCCAGCCTCCGCTCCAAGACTAATCCATTCTTGACCCACCTTCATCCTCCCGCTTAAGCCGCCTTCTCAAGCTGGAGGTTATGGCAGGATCTCGAATGAGAACCCGCAGGTGAGTGCCCAAGGAAGTTGGCCAGGGGATCGGTGGAGGAGGGCGTAGTTGCAGAGAAGTTTGCAGTTAGAGATGCCTAGCACCGAGCGCGCGGGGCCAGACGCGGGGGGCAAGTGCGTGAGCGGTGGGGCAGGG